ATGTCAAATATAAGACTGTCTAACTTCATCTTGAATACTCGTGACAGAATATCAGGCATGTCTTCTGATTGTTAGTGTCGCATACTAAGATATTTTATAACTTTAGGCCATTTAGGATTGTAAGTGAATGTTATGAATTAAATCTTGATAGCCAAAGTGTGAACAAACAGCAATTGCATCATTATGCTTTTCAAGCATGTATCTTGGACCACCCACAAAAGTTGCAGGTTAGACAATCCTTCCCCCAAATTGATGAATCTTTATTTTCGGTAGAAGCCATAACTGAAACATTGCTATAATTTTCTGCACACCAAGTATTTTGATTAAGGCTGAGAAATCAAATTCTCTCTGCTTTCATCATTGTATTGCATCAACCATAAATTGTTGAAATAGTTTTTCTGTATACAGCAGAACGTCGAATTGGTTGCAACTTCCATGATTTTGTATGCAAAAAACTCTTTAATACTAACTTTAACCCTTGGATTTTATGATGTAGTTGTTGTTTTCTATAGATGTACATAAATATGGTATCCATCTTCTCCGTATGAAATTAAAAGTTGATATTGTAAAGGAAGATCGGTCAGATGAAGTTCATTGATTGTTGCCAATTTCGTGCTCTTTGTTTCCATAACAATATCTCTCACCTCAAAATTATCATCAAAATCTCCAACCAAAAGTGCAGCAACTTCTGAGTGTGTAGGCATATTATATGTGTTAGTATTAGCCGAACGACATAAGATCAACTGACTTTGACATTCATGGATTCTAATGAATCTTCAAAATGTTTTTTTGCTGTCTGGAGAATCTTTGTGTATGGATGGCACTCGTTTAGCATAATTATGATTGCTTCTACAATATCATCCCTAAGTACTTTTAATTTGTATCATATATATGAAAAGATTTTACTAGGTAATAAAACTACAATAATTTACCTGAATGCTGCAATTCTGTTGCATTTTCATTGACAATGTCAAAAATGTAAAGTTGTTGACATTTTGGATGTGAGTCATCTGAAGGGAGTAAGCTTCCAATCAAGTAACATAGCCCGAAACTAATGAGAATGTATTACAAAGTGATGTAGGATTGGAAATGGACCAAAACTACTCCTTAGAATCTGATCTTTAAGCTGAATGTGATAGAGGAATGACTTGTGATGTTTGTAGTCAAGGATGCTTGATGACCCCAAACACCAAAGGTTAGACTCTTCTAACTCAAGGGCTAATCCATGCGAGAGCTTTGGAGATTCTACACGTTCTTACAAGCTTCTGAATCCCTCAAGAAACTTAGTATAAACGCAGGAACAACTTTGAATGCAAAGATAGATTTTTCTTTGAAACAAATAACTTTGATTAATTCTTGAATATTCTGAGTTGAAAGTACAATACTTATGAGCTTTATATAGAGCTCAAATGGTGTAAATAAAATGGTAACAAGTATTAAAAATAAAGCAAAGATCAAGCTAAAATGATGGGAAAAGGTTTACTAGTCGTTAGGCTTAAATGGTCTTGATTTGGTCTTGGCGCTGGATGGGGAGGGATGGCTTGATTCATGGGACTAATCTGTGGTATTCAGTGAGGCTTGGACGTTCAAGATCTTCAGTATAGAATGTAGGGATGAGATTAATCCGTGGCTGATCTCCTTGGTCCAACTTTCCTATAGAAATGAGATAATTATCTCTAAGTATGGAAAGTGGCTTCATGGCTGATTCTCCTTGGTTTTGACACGGGTTAGGACGGTTGTTGGGCTGGTTTTCTGGTACTGAACATCTTAAAATGTCTCTTGGTGGTCGAATGTGATGGTGGGGCGAATATAATGTCATGAGTTCTCTCATTTCCTTAGATAACTCCAATGTAGTTCCATTTGATGGTTTGAGGTGGTTTGGCGGTTCTGGCTTGATTTGAGTGGGGTAACTCCGGTTTATAGCTTCTATATCTTCGTTATACTCCAAAGGTTGGTTGAATGATATGCTGGTAAGTGCAGTTTCCATAGATGACTCCTTAAATATGCATGTTAGTCCTTTTAAGAGTTTTGGCGGTTTAAATAAATTGTCTTGCTTCTTGAATTGAACCGGCTCGCCCTTGGAATGATTAAACTGGTCCTCTTAATGGTTAGAACGAATCAGCTGGTTCTCTTGATGCTTAAAACGTTGGCGTTTCAAGGCAATATCTCCATTGCTTTCAGCTACAAGTTCTCCACTCCTCTCAGCTACAAGCAAGCATGGCTCCAGTTTGATATTTGAATGTCCTCCAATGTCTAAGGGAGATTGAGTGGTACTGATGCTTACATCACAAAGAAACCACATAAGGTATAATAAGAATTTGTATATTTATTTTAAAGCTAAATTAAACTTCATCTTATGTTATTATAAAATATAACCCATATTGATAAAATGATGGACAATAAAAACATAAAAAAAAATCTGATAATGGTAATACCGGGTCGGAAGTGGAATCTATGGAGTTTGAAAGATGAGGACTAATCATAGCAGTATCAACTTACATTGAAGTTTTGGAAAATAACTAAGAAAAATATATAGAAATTATAATTGCAATATAGTATAAAGATTTAATATTATCTTTATTGTGTTAATTTTGTCACTTTGAAATGTTAACAATTTTGCCGGATCATCCGTGATTTGAACAACTTTAAAAATTTGGTTGGTATGTAATTTTTGATTGTAAGAGGTCTATAGATTGTGAAGATGAATTGGCGACCTTCTAAGGATAGTAGTTCTAGAGGGAATTGACTCCCATGGTTGAACTGCCATAATATTTATTAAAAAAAAGATTCAAATTGAATAGTAATATATATATGAAGGATGAAGTTTACCTGAACTTGTTGCTCTAGCAGCTTATACGTAGTTTGTGAAAAAGTTGAATATTTCCTTGTCACACATAAGGAAAGAAGTGTTTTTTTTAATCATTATTTACTTTAACATGAACCTGGTACCTATGAAAAGAAATGGTATATTATCACTTATGATTGTAGAATATGCAATAAAAATAGATAGACGAGATACACAATTAGTGACAAATCTTGTGAAAGAAGAACTAACAATTTTCTGGTAGTGGTCATAAGTAAACTTATCACCTTCAATTTCTGGATTTAAGTATTAGTTTAGTTTTCTTAAACATGTTGGACAGCCAATGTAGAACCAAGGAATCTCAGTTTTGAGTTTAGATATTGTTCCGAGTATAGAACACGTTATTTACCGTGGAGAAAGATGAATACAAAATAAGAAGTTGCATGTGTTACTAGTTTAATATGTGATAAAGTTTTAAAAATATAACTTAACCTCTGGGAAATAGTTTTGCGAGAATCCAATGATATAGATCAGATGAAACTTTGATAGATTTAACAAAGTCAAAAAGAGCTACTAGATGAAGTATTGATGACAGTTTTTTTTTTTTGCATCATGTTAAATACAAAATAAACATAAATATATAACTATTAAAAATATAAGAGCAATAAAATTAAGCCATGATTGATTACCTTTCTTTAATTTCTTTTATCTCAGCCATGTCAGAGTTAATGAACAAATTTGTTGAGGATATTACACTTTGAATTGTAAATTTTCCTACACAAAAATTAAGACAGAAAACGTTAATATGACTAGATTACAAATGCTTATTTTATCTGATAGTATAATTACATATATTAATAAAAAGATAATTTTTATCAGATTTACCAATGTAAATATTAACACTCATGAGATTACCAAGTATAACAATAGGTCTACGAGAAAAGGATTGAACCTAAGAATGTATATCTTCAGCATGTTTTGCCCAAAATACATAATTAATTATCGAATCATTGTAACAAAAACAATCACTATAAGAAATTATATGTGTTTTATCATTTATTTTATTTGTTAATATCATTTTTTTATTAAGACAAATTCAGTTGCATCATTAAATTATGGAAGTGGTGACTCATTCATTGATTAAAGCAACTATTTTCATCATTTTACTAGTTGATATTAATATATATCATTTGCAATAAATGATATTTAACATTTCCATCAGTTAATAATATTGAAGTAAATATCTGCATTAATTAATTTAAATGATGTTCTATTTGTCTTAGTTATAACAATTGATATTATACATTTATATCATATATTTTAGATGATACTATTATTTATTAACATATCTATCTTGGAGTTGCTGAGAACATCTCCAAAGCTAGAGTAGTTCGGAAGGCTTCTATTCTAATAGGGCTGGTTCCTCTTTCTCCCGTTGAGTTGGGCCACCAGTTGTAAAGAACGTAGGACTTCCCAGATTCAAATAAATGTTAATTTTTGTGTTAATTTTCATATTATTATCAATTTAAGACAACTAATCAATTTGTATTTATTATTTTTAGGAATTTATTTAAATACACATGCATGATTTAACATAAGAAATAAATAAAAAACTTGATGTTGGTTAATTTGTTTTACAGAGGAGGAGACTAGTGCTCTACATCCTTCTTTAGTGATGTGGGACAAATAATTGTTTAGTTGAAATTTTATCTGCATCATTTTATATAGCTGAAACAAATATTATCATCATTTTTTTATTGATGTTAATTTTAAATCATTTAATTAAATTGTTATTAAGACCGGTTATTCATATGCTTCAGTTATATAATTGATGTAAATTTACACATTTATGTTAATTTTAAAAAATGATGTGTATTAATATTAATTTGTATTTTTTTAATTTATGTTAATCAAATTAATATTAATATCAATTTTATAAAATTGATTTTAATCAAGTTAGTATTAGTATTAATTTTTTAATTAATATTAGTCAAGTTAGTAATAATATCAATTATTTGAACAGATATAAAATTATATATTTAGCGTCAATTTTTAATAACTGATTTTAAATAAAGTCATTTATTTTGTGACATTTTATCAATGATAGTATATATTTTATTTTTTGTAGTGAATGTTAAAAAAGAGAATATATAATAAATTTAAATTTAAATCACAGATAAAAGTTGGAAGGTACTAATCAAAAGCTCTTAAGCTGAAGATTCAATAACTTACAAGACGCATTACGAACAGTAATTTCTATTAGGTTATGTATTCTAATTGCTTCACCAATTACATCTATATGAAAAAGTAAAATTTTAGATGAAAATAGAGCAAATGTTTAATTAAATAACATATATGATGGTGCTAACACGTACCAACAAAAACATTCTCGTCATGTGTTTGCGAGAGTAACTCGTCGAAAGAAATGAAATTAATAAAGTGAGTGGTTTGGAATCTCCTCGCAAGGCTTCACATGTGTTGACAAAGTAAAAAATATTTTGAAAGCATGTGGACTTCCTCTGAAACTATAAAGATTAAGAGACAACTTAAAATTCATCAAAACATGACATAGTCCCTCGTCAAATTTATGTTGGAACTTGAACATTAGTTTTCCTCTTATGCAATCTTGTATACAGTCTCCTTGTGAAAATAACAACAAAAGAATTAGGGAATGGGGATCATGGTATAAGCTAATATATAGCAAAATATGTGTAATAAAAAAGCATGTATAAGCTTACATACTTTCTCATTCACAAGTATTAAATCGCATCTGCAAGGTTGTCATTGTTTTGGAATTGCCAATACAGGTAATTCGAGCTTTAATCTTCCTAATTTCATAATAAAAAAAAAGCTTTAATTGAGCTATTTGAAGCTTTATCTTATAAGCAATCGCAGTCTATAATACTCCTTGTTCAAAAACTCGGCCGTCTAACCGATTCTGCGGCTGAGAAACCGCTAGACAGTAAGTGGCCATGGCGAATAAGGACTATTCGAACACATTATATAGTTATCCGATTTTTCTCCGTCTTAACCGTGGAATAAGAGAAATCGTCGTAGAAATAGACTAAAAGCATAGCCCAAATTTTGTTTCTTAATCAAATTAGGCCCAATGTTTAACAGCCCACAAACTTTGAATAAATTATTGTTATATCGATTGGTATTTGAAGTATATGAGTGTTAGATCGACTTTATAAAAAACTAAAAATCAGTAAATTTTGTTTTTGATTCAATTATGATGAATTAATTTTTTAACCTTTTGTATTAGATGTAAAATGAAAAATAACAGTTTATCTTTGATATAATTTATATGATTTTAAAAAAAAAATGTGTAAACTTTTAATTTTGATATTCTATGTATAAAATATTTAAATATACAAAAACTATTCTAAAAATCACTAAACTTATATCGAGCGCCCACCTATCAAGTTTCCGAACAAGGATAATACCTGAATCAAAATTGCAAAGAAAAGACTTAAATTACAGGTTTATGGAATTTGAGAAATTGAAAATAAAAGCCAAAGATCAAAAAAGTTAAAAGAGTATCTAATGTAACTACTGTGTTTCTTTGAAGATGGTTAAGTTATATAGGTTAAATAGTTCTCATATATCGGTGAAAGTGGAAAAATTGGAAAGTTGAATTGGAGAATGGAAATCATAGGTACATAAATAAAAAGAAACGTGATTTGTTTTATTTTCTATTTTAGTTTAAGAAGTAAAAATATTCGATAAGCTCGATAAATGTTTACCTAAACTAGACAATGAATCTAACCAACAAAATCCAATTAAAAAAAAAAGTTAAAAAAAATCGTCAATTTTATTTGTAAATTCAATTCTCAATCAGGTTAAGATTCTTTTAATCTTATCATGAAATTTCAATTAAAGCTTTTTTAGTCCTTTTTTGTGTGCAACAGAAGATCCGAAGCGATGAGCTTTCCATCTGGCAGCAACCTCACCAATCTCACCTCTAACACAGAAGATACTACCACGTGTACTGACACGCCTGCTCTCGACGAACACAGCAATCCTATCATCGCGATCCCACCACCTGCGGGAAGATTTGCAACGTTTGACGACTCCCACATAATCATGGGAGGGCTATTCAATGACAACAGTTCGCTCAACAAAATTAAGCATCACGAAAAAAAGGCAGTAGAAGCATGCGGAAAACGACCATTCCGAGAAACGAAGCAGCAGTGGATTTCGCAGCAAAAGACTTACAGAGCTTGCACACTCCGCATGCCAACCTGCTCGTCATAACATTGCAAATCCACAAGAGCACGGTCGCAAAAGTTTTGGTTGACAGCGGCAGCACCGTCAATATTAACTTCAAAGATACATTGGCAAGAATGAACTTCGACGAAAGCGAGATGACAACAATGGCAAAACCACTAACAGGATTCACTGGCAATACCTCCTATAGTATCGGCTCGATACATCTACTCACCTACATCGGCGGCATAACCAAAAAGGTCAAATTTGCAGTTATCGACTGCCCAACTATTTACAACGTCATACTAGGGACCCCATGGATCCACAGCATGAAGGCCTTCATCTCGACCTACCACTAGTGCATCAAGTTCCCAACTCCTACCGGCGTCTTCACCCTGCAAGGCGATCAATCGACAGCAAGGATGTGCCTCCTTAGCAAAAGAAAAATCAGGACGGTAATCACATGCATGGTAAACGAGGATTTAGACCCACGCCTTCCTTATCACAAAAGACCAAAGCCGGAGCGGGTCATCAGGTAAGCATCGATTAGAAACAACCCGAACGAACCGTCAGCATCGGCGGCAACCTCGCAGAAGATATTAAAACAGAGCTCGTCGAACTTCTGCAAAACAACATGCATTTATTCGCTTGGTCTATGGAGGACATGAAAGGAATCAACACCAAATTACGTCGCATAAACTAAACATGGACCCCACGTTCAAACTAATTAAGCAAAAATGAAGGAAGCTCGGCCCTGAGAAAGCCCAAGCAGTAACCGACAAAGTGGAAAAACTACTCAGCGCTGGATCAATCACTGAAGTCCAGTACCCAGACTGGTTGGCCAACTCCGTCGTCGTTAAAAAGAAGAACGGCAAGTGGAGGGTCTGCGTCGACTTTACCGATCTTAATAAAGCTTGTCCAAAGGATTGCATTCCACTTTCCCATATCGACCGACTGGTCAAGTCTACAGCTGGGAATCAGCTATTATCCTTCATGGATGCCTTCTCTGAATACAATCAAATTTTTATGCACCCCAACGACAGAGAAAAGACGGCGTTCATCACCAATCGCGGAACGTATTGCTACAAAGTCATGCCTTTCAGACTAAAAAATGCAGGAGCCACCTACCTACTGTTAGTCAACAAAATGTTCGCAAGTCAGCTCAGCCGCACCATGGAGGTCTACATCGACAGTATGCTCATGAAATCTGCAGTCGTTAAAGATCACGTCGGTCATCTCAAAGATTGCTTTAAACCCCTCGAAAAATATGGAATGAAATTAAATCCAGCCAAATGCACATTCGGAGTAACTTCAGGAGAATTCCTAGGTTACGTCGTCACCCAAAGAGGAATAAAAGCAAACCCAAAACAAATCTCGGCGATACTGGATCTCCCATCACCCAAAAATACACGCGAAGTGCAAAGGTTAACCGAGAGGATAGCCGCGCTGAACAGATTCAACTCGCGCTTCACAGATAAATATCTCCCTTATTATCAACTGCTGCGGAGTAATAAGCACTTCGACTGGGACGATAAATGTGAGGAGGCTTTCACACAATTGAAGGAGTATCTAACAACCCCGCCGATATTATCATAACCGGAGGACGGCGAGACGCTGTATCTTTACATCGCAGTTTCGACGGCAGCGGTAAGCGGCGTCCTTGTCAGAGAAGATCGCGGCGAACAAAACCCGATCTTCTACATAAGTAAACTTTGGATGGAGCTGAAACTCGTCACCCGGCTCTAGAAAAACTCGCTTACGCAGTAATTATCTCGGCACGGAAATTATGACCCTACTTCCAATCTCACACTATCGTCGTCTTCACTAGTCAACCACTTCGGAGCATTCTGCATAGCCCCAGTCAGTCCGGCTGAATGGCTAAATGGGCAATATAATTGTCCAAATATGACATTGAATACCGAGACCGCACTAGCGCCAAATCTCAATTTCTAGCAGACTTTATGGTGGAAATACCCCGTATCTACTAACTGGCGAAACACCTGCTGAAAATCGTTGAACTTGTATGTTGACGGCGCGTCCTCGAAGCAAGGATCAGGAGTTGGCATCTGTTTAAAATCGCCAACAGGAGAAGTCCTTGAACAATCATTTAAGCTCGGCTTCCTTACCTCGAACAATGAAGCCGAGTACGAAGCTTTGCTCGCAGGAATTCGCCTCGCCAAAGAAGTAGGAGCGAAAAATACTCACGCCTTTTGCGATTCTAAGCTCGTCGCCAGCCAATTTAAAGGGGACTACAACGCGAAGAACAAATGAATTGATGCTTACCTAAAACAGGTCCAGGAAATAACAAGGCAATTCGACTACTTCGAACTAACAAAAATCCTGCAAACTGAGAACACCGCCGCCGACGCGCTGGCAGCTTTAGCATCGACAACAGATCATGCACTTCGCCGAATAATTCCAATAGAAATCATCGAGCAACCTAGTATCCAGCTATGCATCGACTTTATGCGTCGACTTTACCGACCTGAACAATGCTTGCCCTAAGAAAAGCAGCGCAATATTTTATTAAAAATAACAACCTATTCCGTTGGAAAGCAAACAAAGTAATACTGCGATGTTGCGACGAAGCATAAGCTAAGGTCATGATCGAAACTCACAAGGGGGCAGGCGGCAACCATTCCGGAGGAAGAGCATTAGCTTTAAAAATAAAGAAGCATGGATTATTCTCGCCTAGAATGGTCCAGGATTGCGAACAATTCATACTACGGTGCAAACCGTTTTAGAAACACGCACCCATCATCAACGCACCCACCGAGCTCCTTCAGACCGCCGTCCCGCCATACTCCTTCATGAGGTGGTTAATGGATGCGATTGGCTCAATGCCTAAGTCAGGTCGCAATCAACATATCCTGGTTATAACGAACTACTTCACAAAGTGGCTTGAAGCTAGATCATACCACAGCATAAAGGCGATCGATGTCCAGATTTTCGTATGGGAAAACATTATATGCCGGCATGGCCTCCCATACGAGATCGTCACAGATAACGGCATGCCATTTACCTCGTCGACTTTCCGAAATTTTTGTGAGGGTTGGGAAATACGCATAAGTTACTCAACGCCTTGCTACCCACAAGGAAGTGGTCAATCGGAGGCTTCTAACAAAACCATTCTCAACGGTCTTAAGAAACGACTAACAGACCTAGAGGGAAGATGGGCAGATGAACGGGACGGGGTCCTCTGGTACCACCGAACGACTCCGCAAACTGCAACAGGAGAAACTCCTTTTTTGCTGTCTCACGGCTGTGAGGCCTTAGCACCTGCCGAAGTGCATGTACCAAGTGCTTGACGAACCTTAATGGTTCAGAACCCACAGCTAAACGATGAAAAGCTAATTAATACTCTGGACGGCTTAGAAGAACTTCACGATAAAGCTTTATTGCGCATTCAGAATTATTAGCAACAAATCTCTAGGTATTACAACAAGAAGGTACGCAGCCGACTGTTCTCGCTTCATGATCTCGTTTTACAAAGGGTTACAAATCTGACAAAACTGAGAGAAAATTGGAAGGGGCCTTATCG